AGAGGCTAATGATTTCCTTATGAGGAACACAGGGGAAATGTATGTCCCTGATGTGATATTAAAGAGGAACTAGGCCCCTCAATAACTTCCAACTTCCACTTTCTACATGTGATTTTAACTTCTCATGTACTAACTTTTAATCATTTATTTGTCTCTCTCATCCTTGTCATTCACTCTCTGATCTGGGCTTAAATGCAAGAAAACACTGATGAGGGCCTACCCCTGTAGGGTTGCCAAAATTGGGCAGATACAAGTATAGGACACTCAGTTAAATTTAAATTTTAGCTGAACAACAAGTATTTTTAGTATAAGTTTGTCCTCTGAAATATTTGGGATATACTTATATGAAAAAATTATTCAGTGTTTATCTGAAATTCAAATTTAATTGGACATCTTGTGTTTTATTCTATAGCCCTATCTCCAGTTTACTTTCTGCCAAGGATTAAGACACTCTATATCCTGCACTTTTTTTTTTTAAAGATTGTATTTATTTATTTGTCAGAGAGAGACATAGCGAGAGAGGGGAACATAAGCAGAGGAGTGGGAGAGAGAGAAGCAGGCTTCCTGCCGAGCAGGGAGCCCGATGTGGAGCTCAATCCCAGGACCCCGGGATCATGACCTGAGCCGAAGGCAGACACTTAACGACTGAGCCACCCGGGCACCCCTATCCTGCTTCTGATACATCAAACTGAGCTACAATGGAGGTGAATAAGGTGGGTCAGATCTTCATCCAGGAATCAGTGGGAAACCTACAGACTAATGGGAAAAACAAAGCAGACACAGATGGATCTGTAAGCAAGCAGGCTAGTGAGTGCAAGCTTCCTTGTTTGACCCAGGCTTTTTGCCAGTAGTAGCCCTGAGCACATGCTAATGCAACATAATAGTTAAGAGTGCAAACTTTGAAATCACACATCCTTGAGTTCAATTCCTTGTTGTGGCTCATACATGATTTGTAAGCCTGGACAAATTACTTAATTTCTCCAAACTTGAATTCCTTATATAAATTAGGATAATAACAGCAGCCTCCCATGAGCTTCACCGATGTGTTGCATCTAGTATGATACCTGGCCAGAGTTATCCACATTAGCCTATTACTATTATTAGCCCCAATGCTGCTTATATGGCTAACTGTCACTCCATCCTCTGGGACAACCCAAGGTAGAACAGGATAGGACAAGACAGGAGAGAAGAGCGTAGGACAGAACAGAATAGGATAGGACAGGGTAGAATAATAGGATAGGGTGGGGTAGAATGGAATGGATAGAATAGAATGATTAGTCTACCACTTATTTTTTACTTAGCATGCTCAAGGCACTGTGCTAATTGTATGCCTATATTTTCTCATCAAATACTTGTAACAACCCTGAGAAATATAATTATTCCTATTTTGTAGATATTGGATTCAAAGCATAAAGAGATTAGGAAATATTTCTAAGGTGACAAGGTCAAACAACTTGTAAGTGGCAAATCTGAAACTTCTGTCTGATCCCAAAGCCCATGCTTAACTAGTAACACATACCTCAAAATCCTTCTGTGAGATTTCCAACCCAGACTGCAATTCTTTCCTGTATTAAGAACCCTGATGTCGGGCCCCTGGGTGGCTCAGATGGTTAAGCGTCTGCCTTCAGCTCAGGTCATGATCCCAGGGTCCTGGGATCGAGTCCCACATCGGGCTCCCTGCTCCGTGGGAAGCCTGCTTCTCCCTCTGCCTCTCTCTCTCTCTCTCTGTCTCTCATTAATAAATAAATAAAAAAATCTTTAAAAAAAAAGAACCCTGATGTCATTTATGCATGGAAATGTCCATAGGAATTAAAGAGTTCCATATTCCTTTCATTCTCATATCTTCTTACCACACTAGAATGGCATTCCAAGAGAAGGACCTTATCTTTGTCTTCCCAGCTTGGAGAAACCATCTTTCATAACTTCAGTTTCTCCTCTACGTAAAGACAAATTAATTTGCTTATGCCGGTGGAGGATAAGTCACATCTTCTAAACTGCTATTAATATGGCACACATCAAAGGCTCCTTATTTACAACATCCAAGACATAGAAACAACCTAACTGGCCATCAGTGGATGAATGAATAAAGAGATCGTCCTACACACACACACACACACACAGTGGAATATTATTAAGCCATAAAAAAAACACAAGGAAATCCTACCATTTGTAACAACATGGTTGGACCTTGAAGGCATTATGCTAAGTCAAATAAGTCAGACAGATGAAGATAAATATTGTATGATCTCCCATGTGGAATTTAAAAAACTACAATAAAAAACCAAACTCACAGAAAATGAGATCAGACTTGTAGTTACCAGAGGCATAAGGTGGGGAGAGAGGAAATTGGAGGAAGGTGGTCAAAAGGTACAAACTCCCATTTATGAGATACAAAGTACTAGAGTACAGGACTCTAACCAACACTATTATATGATACATAGGAAAGTTGCTAAGAGAATAAATCCTATGAGTTATCACAAGGATAAAATGTTTTTCCTTTTTATTTTTTTATATTGTATCTACATGAGAAGATGGATGTCAGCTAAACCTATTGCAGTAATCATTTCACAATATGTGTAAATCAAAACATCATGCTATATGCCTTGAACTGATATAGTGATGTATGTCAAGTGTATCTCAATAAAACTGGGAAAACAAATAAATAAGATTCTTTATAGCTTATCAGGTATTTTATCTGTTCTCTCTCATATCCTTAAATACTGCAGACAAATAGGCAGAAAATTATAATATGTCCCAGTTTTACAGATGATAAATTATTCATTTATTTGGTATGTATTTTTGGGGTATCTTCTACATACACTATTCTGGAAACCAGAGCTGTCTCAGTGAACAACATAGACCAGAGTCCTTCCATCCTGGATTTTAACATCTCTGGGAAGAGAGACTTAAATAATGAAACAAAAAATAATATTTAAATGCTAAGAAAGAAGAATACAGAGTATACAAAAGATGACAATAGAGGGATCTGAGTTACATTAGAGAGTCATAGTTTTCCTCAGAAAAGAGGCATTTTAACTGAAATCTGAAACTAAAAGGAATAAACCAATAAAAAAGAAGAGATAAAAATACAGCAAACATAGAAAACTGAGCATCAGGCCCAGAGAGTATTTAATCAGGGTCATACAGTGAGTCAGTGGTAGACAGGAATAGCATCCAGCTATCCTGCCCCCTCAATGTGGTGTTATTTCCTTGATACCAGACCAATGAAAGCTGATTCAGTAACTTGTCTGCATGCCCCATTTAGGTGGTATCCTTGAGAAGCCAGCAGGCCTCTCTCCCAGGTTGCAATATTAGAGTCTTTGCTTACCTGTACAGTGTTCTTATGGCGAATTAGAGCCCCCTGAGGGCTCAAAGCTTGTACAAAGCAGAAGGTATTGTTAGCCTTTCCCATGCAAATACAGCCACATATCAGGGACTACAGCATGGCTAAAAGAGGAAGCTTGAGTGTCATTTTCCCCCTAAGACCACTGGACAAGCACAGTGCTGTCCTAAGCAGTGACCCTGATAGCATAAATCTAACTCATTGAAAGCTTCCTACTATGGACCACTACCTCTAGCTCACAACACTTTGTATAGGAGTAACAGGATCAGGGTCTTCTTAATAAGATAGGTTGGAGTGGGGCACCTGGGTGGGGTGCCTGGGTAGCTGAGTTGGTTAAGCATCTGACTCTTGATTTCAGCTCAGGTTATGATCTCAGGGTTCTGAGATCAAGTCCCATGTTGTGCTCTGCGCTGGGTGTGGAAACTGCTTAAGATTCTCTCTTTCCCTCTGCCTCCCCACCTCCCAACTCTCTCTTAAAGAAGAAGCAGAAGCAGAAGAAGAAGAAGAGGAAGGAGAAGAAGAAGGAGGAGGAGGAGGAGGAGGAGAAGGAGGAGAAGGAGGAGAAGGAGAAGAAGGAGAAGGAGGAGGAGGAGGAGGAGGAGAAGAAGAAGAAGGAGAAGAAAAGAAGAAGAAGAAGAAGAAAAAGGAGAAGAAGAAAGAAGAGGAGGAGGAGGAAGAAGAAAATAGGTTGGAGTGGGAGAGAGAAATTTATTTTTCTTTCCTTTTTTTAATGTTTGCTATATGCCTTCAATAACATATATTCAACTCTGAAAAAGACAGTCTTGCCGTTAAGGAATATACAGCATATTGGTGGAGACATTTAGACACACACCTATCAGGCACATAGCGGAGCATCTACCTCTACCAGGAAGAAGCAGAACAAGCTTCCCAAGGATGCGAAGTCAAAACTGAGAACAATTAGAAGAGCCATACGAAGCTCCCTGAAGATTCAGTAGTGAATAAAACACTCTGCCCTTAAGAGATTCATGGGCTAAAGAAGAGAGCTCGTCAAGAACTTCATTCTCAAACAATATGTCAGGGTTCCAGAAGGCAGACGATAGAGCAGTTGTCTGGAGTGGGGTGGAATCATCATCATGAAGGTTTCACAGAGAAGGGGGCATTTGAACTTGAGCCTGAGGAATAGGAGGAATGTTCTTAGGGGAGATGATGGGGAGGATATCCTGGGACAAATAAAGAGCATGAGCTAAGGACATGAGGGTGTGAATGGGCATGCCCACGTGGGGACAAGTAATGAGTTCAGAGCATGGAAAAACAAGCAGAGTACACAGGACGGAGAGTAGGCACACCTCACCAATCTGATTTGTTGCCTGCTCCTTGGCCCTGCATAGTCATTCTGCCTGAGAGCCATTGAATAATCAATGCTGGTATTGCAACTACCTGTAAAGAGTTACTCCAGTGCTCTTTACGAAATACACATTAGAAACACTGACAGGGTTTTTCTTTCCCTATATGAAAAACTTGGTTTAAAAGATAGGGCAGGGTTCATTATAGAAATCCAAGCAGAAGCTGTGCAGATATCTTGTGCAACAACCTAAATTCCATAGCAGATGATGTCACCTATAAATGCCTTATAAATGGAGCAAGTCTCTGGGAGCATCTGAACAGGTGATCTGTACCGATACCCAGCGCTACAGGCATGGCTGTCTCAGTGCTGCGGCTGACAACTGTCCTGGGACTACTCGTCTTAATCCTGACTTGCCAGGCCGGTGAGTGCTTCTGAATGCAGCTTATGCAATATGCAGTAGTCAGCCAGGAGTCCAGGGAGGCAGCAGCACTGATCCAGAACATAAAGGGGAAAGAGGGAAAGGGGGCTTTGGGCAGTACAGAAAGAGCATCGGACTAGGGGACTAGAGGCAGATCTAACAAAAAAAAAAGTAGGATTTTCATTCTAACGTGCTTCAGTTACAGCCTCTATCCTCAGTGAATGTATGAAGTTCGGGATGATCTTTCTGCTTATATATTCATGTAATACAGTGACACTATTATATTATAAATTTCTTGACAGCAGAGGGGAGGAGATTTATTTTTTGATGATTCTAACTAATAATATTTAAAGGTAAAGAATATATACCCTGGAGGGGCACCTGGGTGGCTCAATTGGTTAAGCCGCTGCCTTCAGCTCAGATCATGATTCCAGGGTCCTGGGATCGAGGCCCACATCGGGCTCCTTGCTCTGCGGGGAGCCTGCTTCTCCCTCTCCCTCTGCCTGCCACTCCCCCTGCTTGTGATCTCTCTCTCTCTCTCTCTCACTATCTCTACCTCTGTGTCAAATAAATAAATAAAATCTTTAAAAATAAATTTAAAAAAAAGAATATATACCATGGAATAAGACTCCTAGGCCTGGCTCTACACTGATCAGGAATGTGACTTCAGGCATGTTATTTCACCTTTCTGGGCCTCACATGTTAAAGGGAGTATCAGTAGTTAACTTTCTCATAAAGTTATCATGAAAATTGAATAAAATCGAGTAAGAGACAAAAGTCCAGTCCTTAATAAGCACCCAGTAAATAGTAACTGTTACTGTTATCACGTATTATCTCATTTGAGTCTCATAATAATCCTTTTAAGTAAATATTCAAAGTTTTATCATTTCCCTCTCAGCAGGTTAACAAAGCTTGCAGAAGGAAAGTCACTTGGGCAAAGACACAGAGGCATACCTGGGACTGAAACCCCAGGTCCTTCGATTCTGTCCATTATGACTAAGAGCCTACTTCTTTCGTGTCTGTCCCAAGCACATAGGGGACCACAAGGCAGCTTGTAAGATTCTCCTTATTTTTGGCCTGCAGAAGGTGGTGAGCTCTTGACTTGTCTTTATTCAGAAGGATAGGTCAGAAAACACAGCCAAGTGCAAATAATTTAGTAACAGAGCCTTTTGAAATGTTCTAAATGTAACTTGGCAGAACTCAACACTGTTAGCCACCCACTGTGCACCAGCAGAACATATAGGCAGATACCCTAATGGAACTGCCATAGAGATCGCCTCAGACACTACTGTGACCATCAACATCTGGAGTCATCACTACAGTAAAGTGAAAGATGAGATTTATATTCTAAGGACCAGTCCCCAGCTCTGTCTCTCACAAACTCTGAAACTGGTTAAATCAGTTCACTGCTTTGAACCTCAGTTTCTTCATCTATAAAATGCGGTAACAATCAACTTCACCAGGTCAAATGACTATGCCTTTGTAATCACTTCGTAAACTATAAACACTATACAAATATCAGCAGTACTGTATTTTTTTTCCTGAACTTTATGGTAACATTTACTGAAAAACTCAACCAAGTAGTTAATATAAATAAAGGCTAGTCCATATTACATTTGAAAAGAAAAAATATTCAACTATTGGCTTTGCTGATTTGTTTCTAGTATGTCAGACTTCTTAATTTTTATTATTTTTATTTATTTATTTTTCTGTTTTTCAACATTTTCAAATGCCTTAATATTTTAACTGCATTTTTCAATTTTCATAATCTCCTAAAGCACAAGAGCAAGAAGCTACTATGGATAATTTTGTTACTATTACTATTAATATATTTTATTATATATATATGCACCCATTATTATGGTTATATATCATAGTAATGCAGCAAATGCAGCAAGCATTTATTGTGGGTTTACCTTGAACCCAGTGATAAGTTGTATATATGTATATAGATACGGGTATATACATATATATGCATATATATATATACACACACATATATGATATATATGAAAGATATATAAAATATCTTTCAATACTGACAATAACACAATGAAGAAACAGAAAAAGAGTGGTTAAGTATTGTGTGCAAGGTTACCTGGTGGATTTTTTTGCTGAAGACAGGAATCAAACTCAGGTATATAGGACTCCAAAACATATGGTCCACCATACTCTAAAACCTCTTAATATAGCTATGGTCCAAGGGCTGGAGCCAAATATCCAATCTTCACACATATTCCAAACCAGGGCTCTTTGTATAATGAAAAGCTAGCATTTAGTGTCATATTAAAATAAAAGGTCAGTAAAATTAACTTGTTATGCAAGTATGCATATAGCAACATAGGAAAAAGGAACTCACTTTTCATGCAAGAAATTGCTGTTCTGTATCTGGTAAATGTCTTCAGGGGAAAACTGCTTGAAGATAGTACTATATCATGTAGATAATGTGCTCTGTGGAGTTAAAACAATTTAGGCTCAAACCTTGGCTCAGCCAGATTCTAGAGGTGTGATGTTAGGTGAGTCATTCAATTTATCTGAGCACCTGTTTTCTATAAAACCGTAATATCTTCACTGAACTAAATAAAAATTAAAGCATGTCATGAAAACAATATCCCAGTACCTGCTCAACAGGCACATCACAAATTTCCATTCTCTTTCCTTCTTCCCCTGATGAAAACACAGCAATTCTGGTCACTGTGGTGGCCCTGCACTCCATGTAAGGATCATGTCTATACATGTTCATTCATACCTTAACTCTTAGCATATGCTATGCACATCATGGTAGGCTCAAAAAATACTTGCTGAATGAAAACACCAACAGCTAAAGGAACAAATCTTTTGTTGTTGTTCGGTAAACAACAAATGCTTGCAGATTTGAAAGCCACATTTTTTGACTAAGAGTTTCCATTTTAGGACATAATATAAATATGAGGCTTCTAACATAATTTTTGACAGCCTCCACACAAAAAGCTAGTTACATCTCCTTCATTCAGAGTCATGGGGAACAGGGTCTAGATGTTGGGACTTTTTGAGTCAAAACTTGTGGTGGGGTTAGCAAATGAAATACAGGATACCCAGTTAAATTTGAATTTCAGATAAACAATGAGTAATTTTTTAGTTTAAGTATGACCTAAATATTGCATGGTCATTCTTACACCAAAAAAAGTATTTGTTGTTTATCTGACATTTAACTTTATTTCGGTGTCCTATATTTGTATTTACCAAATCTGGCAACACTACTTGTGGGGCTACAATAAAACTGAAAGATAAGGGTCCCACTTCATCCAGGCACCAGAGTCCAGGGGGGAGGCCACTTGAAGCCACTGACACTCTTCCCTTACTTTTAATCTCTTGAACAATTTAGACTACAAAGCAAAGCCAAAACCCGCCAAGGGACCTTGCATGTCCCCAGCCTCACTCTCTGGATCCTTAGTCCTCATTCCAAAAGGCACTTGACGAAGAGTTAAGAGTAAGAAGCCTGAATTTAGAACTCCATCCTCTCTTGCTATTTGTGAGACCTCCTGCAAGTCACTTTATCTTTTCAGTTTCTTAGTCCAGTGAGCTAAGAACTGCATACCCCATAAGAATGGTCAAGGGTAAAATCACACGGCATTTGTAAAGTCATTATTTACAGAACTATCAAAATGATGCACAAGTGATAGAATTTCTCCTTGTCATCATCCTTATTATACTACTTTCAATCTTATAACATACTTGTGGTTAGATCATAACTTTTCTGTCAAAGGCCATACAGCTCATTTTTGTTGTTGCTGATATCTTGTATTTTATAAGTAACCTATGTTTGCTGTAGAAAAATTAGAGAATATAAAGAAACGAGGTATTTCCATTGGAGGGGGGGAGCAAGGCTATGCAGTTCAGCACTGAGTGCTTTTGGATCCAGATTTTAATACCAGTCCGACATGGGATTGAACTCCATTTTGGCCACTCACTAACTCTGTACTTTGACCTAGCTCCTAAATTTCTCTCAACTTCAACTTCTTGACCTTTCGCTTGAGAATAAAATGATGTGATCATGCATGCAGATTGTCTGTCATAGGTCCATGCGTAACAAATGCTACCCATTATTATGTCATCATTATTATCATTACAACAGGTCAGGGATTGCATGGAGAAAAATACATTAAAATGGGCATTCTGGGGGTGCCTCGGTGGCTCAGTCCATTAAGTGGCTGACTCTTGATTTCATCTCAAGTCATGATCTCAGGCTCATGGAATCGAGTCCCATGTCTGGCTCCTCGCTCAGTGGGGAATCTGCTAAAGACTCCTTCTGCCCTTCCCTCCACTCACTCTCGCACTCTCTAAGATAAATAAATAAATCTTTTTTAAAAGGTGGGGGGCAGTCTATATTTCAATCCTGGCACTGGCATTTTTAACTCCGGACAAGTTACTTAACTTCCATGAGCTTCAATTTTCTCAATCAGAAAGGAAACCCATGTCTACCTAAGTATTGATATACGCTGTTTTTAGGAATAAGCGAGATGATGCATGTGAAGACTTTGTCAGGGCAGGCATTAAATGTTCAATAAATATAACTGTACCAGGCTGTATAATTAACGAGAGGGGATAAAAAGCGGTCTAGGGGCTCCCTTCAAAGAAAAGAGTCTTCCCTTTCCTATTGCTGAGAATTACCTGAGATTCTGTTCTGTTTTTCAGATGACAAACCAGATGACAAGCCAGATGACTCAGACAAAAACCCAGAGCCAGAATTCCCAAAATTCCTAAACCTCTTGGGCGCAGAGATCATTGAGAATGCAGTGGAGTTCATCCTCCGCTCCCTAAGGAGGAGCAGGTAAGCCCTGAGACAAACCTTGCTTTTGTCTGGTTCTCTGTCAGTAATGACCACATTGTATTAAAATGAATGTGAAACAAAACTGTGCATGACAATATATTATTTGAGTTGAAAAGTATTGCCCTACCTTAAGATATATTTGCACCTGAGTGAATTTCCCTAAACTCTTTTGGAGTGTGCACATTCCCAACAAGTGGTTCCATAAAGTATTTTTTATCTCAGGATCAAGTAGGAAGGAGGAAGAGCACCGGACCAGGGAAGAGAAGGCCAGGTTCTGGTCTCCCCACATGTGCTACTTGACTGGGTGACCCTGAGCAAGGCCCTCCTTCTCTGAGTGCCTTAGTTTTCTCATCTGTAAAGTTAAAAGAATAAAGGACCCACCCAGTGCAGGCACTGTAATTCTTTGGTGAAGGTGGTGGGTAGTGATGTGTTCACTAGGGAGAGATGTGATGAGTCCTGCCTTTATTTTCTAGTTTGAGAAACTCAAGAGGGTTAGCAGAGAGAGTAGCTGATATCTCTTCAGAGACAATCTAGGGAACCTCTCATATGAGTGTTGATCATGAGGGATTGCCATGGTGGCAGAGCATACAGCCCAGAATCTTGCCAGGGTTCTCTACTTCCTTCCAAGCCCCCCTGTGCCCAACACCTAACACATCTTACTCCAGTCTACACAGCTCTGATTTTCACTTCTACTTCACCCTGTTTTCATTTCACCCACCGTAAGCTCCCTACTTTCAGCTCTCCAAGATCCAATTTGTTCTGAATTTCCAGGTGCTTTCAATCTCCACTTCACTGAACCTCTGTCTCTAATTCTCTCCTTCATAGACCCCAAAGCCCAGTTTGACAAAGTGTGGTCTAGAATCCCCTGGAGAGTTTGTACAAAATGAAGTTTCTTCATCTCATCTTGTGTCTTTCTAGGACAAAGCTAAGGGTATGCTTTTTAACAAGCTTGCTGGTGATTCTGATATCCCATCAATTTTGAAAGCCCTTGATTAGATGCTCTGCACTACATGGCTTCCCCTTAAAGGTCCACATATCCTTTAAATTTTTATTCATATTTTGTGTAAATGTGCATCTTAGCATTTTTTTTTTTTTTTAGGGAAATGCTTCTGACTTTTTTTAGATTCTCCAGGGGGTCTATGACCAATAACATTAAGAAACACTTTCTATAGAGAAGTAATCAGGGGCCATGTTGTAATCTCTGATTTGCTTAAATCAATATATTATCATGTGATGGGCAGGATTCTGCATGCCATCTTCATGCACAAATTATTGAAACTCACAGATGTTTATTTTTGTATGGTTATTTTTCCTATTGTGGTTGCTTTTGCAACTGCTGAGTTTCGGTGATTGTTAATGTAAACAAGGAGGAAACTAACAAGGAGGCAAGAGTAACACCCATTATGTACAAAGTACACATTACACTCCAGTTGAATTCATATTGTTACAAAGCACAACAATAGCAATGCAAGGAGTTGAAGCAATAATATTTCTTTTTATTCCTTCCTTTGGGAATTCCCCAGACATAAAATAGCACTTTTTTTCTCTGTTAACCCTGAAAGCTCATTATCTGAAATATAAGACAATTGCTGTCAGCTCTGGATTCAGGAATGGCACCTCGACTTCAACCATTCCCTTTTTTCCTCATTGTTTTCTAAGTAAACAATGTTCTTTCTGTTTCTGGAACTTAAAACCATCTCAGGCTCTCTGTCCTTGCTTTCATTTCCTAAAATGTTCTTTCCTTCTCTCGTGGCTAGTGCTTTGTCTCACAGCTCATCTAAAAGTCACCTCCTCAGAAAACAGTTCTATGACCACTCTTATTCACACTATCTTCTCTTCATTCCCTAGTTCTTCTCCCTTACTTTACCTTATCATAGTGTCGTTATAACATATATCACCATCTTTATTTATTTGTAGTCATGTAGCTATGTGAAAGTAGGGATCAGGTCTATCTAACTCATGGCTCTAACACAGTACCTTATAGATTGAATGAGACACTCAGCAAATAATTGATTAATTAAGGAAGGTATCTTAGAGATCAGATCTAGAACCCATTACTGCAATTTGGGAAATCCTGAGGGATCTTTGTAGCAAGACACAGCAGTCCTTGCTCAAGGGAAAAATCTAGCTGTCCTTTCTCTGTCCAAGATAAGACCATAAATATAATGGGGATAGGGAATGGGAGGAGACCATCAAGAAGTGTTTCTAAGCACTTAGTATATACAAAGTTGGGGCAGAAATTGTGAAGGAAAAATCTAGAATGTAAATCCCTTCTCAAAGATTTGCAGTCCTTATGGTAAGATGACACAGCAAATGCCATGATGACTAATATGCTAACTAAGATAAATGTCAGTAAAACGTCACAGGTAATTTCTGGAGAATGGAGCTGTCTACTGACACCAGGATGTTTAGGGGAGTGTTTATAGCAAGGATGAGATGCAATTTGAGCCTTAAAGACAAAATTTGATTAGAGAGAATGACAGGAATGAGGGAACTTCATAAAGATGAGAATTTCCTTTATTTACTCCAATATATCTGATACCTAAGTACTGTGTCAAGCACATAATAAATGCTAGATATGTGCTTTCAGGACATTGAATAGAAGAGCTCACCTCCTCCACTCTGGATTACTTTAGAGCTGTGTAAACTGGATTCTGGTCACCATTGTTCTGAAAAAATATACATATTCTTAAATCCTCTGACCCCTCAAGAACGCTCCAATCCTTGTGAATTTCCCCTCACCTGCTGAATTTCCATGACACGACATTTTCCTTGTTCTCTCCCTACCTCTAACCACTCTTTCTCATTCTTTTTATTTGACTCATGACCAATGACTTCCAAAATCAGATGTCTATTGTGTTCTTTTTACTGAGCTTCAGACTGAAATGATTAACTGTTTGCTAGAAAATTACACCTTGGTTTTCCATCAATACCTGAAATTTAACTGGTCTAAACCCAAACCCATCACCCTACAAACCTGTTCCTCCTCCCATGTTCCTTACTTCAGGAATCACATCCCCACCCACCCAGAATCCGGAAACCTCAGGGTCTTCTTGGATCTTTCCTGCTTGTCAACACCTTCCTCAAATTGCTGAATATTCTACCTCTAATTTTTTTCCTGTATCATTGCTTTTCTTCAACTTCACTGACTAGCTGGCCTAGTAGAGTTTTTTCGTCACCTCCTTCCTGAGCTCTTTTTATTAGATTTATGATTAGTTCCACTGTTTCTGTCTGTCCTCCCTCCAAACCATCCTCTACTTACTATCAGAGTTATATAACAAAAACACAAGTTGGGTTCTATTACTGCCATGCTTGAAACGCTTTTGTAAATTTCCATAGCCTACAAAATCAGAACAAATGCATTTGGCTGAAGTTAAATGTTCCTTCCCGAAGCCTGTGTATCTATCAATCACATATCTCACTCCTGAAGTCAAACACCTGATGCCCCCAATACCAAATGATTTCTTTCAGAACTGGTCATGTTTGTATAAACCCCCAACATCTTTGCACATGGCTCTTCTCTCTGCCAGCAAGGCCTTGCTAGGTAGACTTGTCCGCCTAGAAGTTTAATCATTTCTAAAGTCCAATTCAAAGACAAGTTCTGTGAAGACCCCTATGATTATAAACTGTAGGTATTCATACTCTGGATTTCCTAATGCTTTGTGGAAACCTTCAATTGATTTTCTTCCCCCCCTCATTGTTTTAAATTACTTGTTCATTGTTTTAAATTACTTGTATCTGATTGTGTCTATTTTCTCCACTAGATTATAAACTTCTCACAGGCCACATTTTAATCATTTTACCTTTCCAGCAACTACCATGTACCCTATCCTTCAACAGTATAGTGCTTCTAGGATTAATTCCTGATTCGAGACATCTCAGTTTTAGACTTTGCTTTGCAGTTTACCAGCTATGTGATATAGACAGGTTGTTTAATCTCTTTGAGCTTTAGAAGTTTCTTCATATGTAAAAAGAAATAAAAATTTATTCATTTATCCATTTATTTATTATTTACTTAATTCAAACATTTATTAATTTATACTATATGCCAGATGCTGGGGATATATTACTAAACAAATATACCAAAATATCTGTCTTATGTAGTTTATATATGAATAGACAGCTAATGAATAGATTTGTTGGCAGATTCAAAGAGATAATTGTGCATAAATAGCTTGCAACTACAAACTGTTATGGAAGTCTTGAATCTTATTAACTTATGACATAGGAAAATCTGCAGAACAAAATTGTGGCTCAAGCATTATAAGACATCCTAGTGATCATTCTAACATTCTTGTTCAATCTCAGTCATAATTCATTTATTCTCTTTTTTTTCTTTTCAAGAGGATTTATGGAATTTGATGATAAACAAGGAGAACACTCAGCAAAGTGACTTCCCCAGGTGATTTTAACTTATAATTTACAAGTAAAATAATAGCATATTGAACAAAAAGGAGGGTCTGTCTTATTTTATTTAACTAATTTGGGTACCTCTGTGCCTACCTATAAGCAGAAAAGGTGTATTTTTTCATTTTTACTGTAGTTTCTTAAAATTAATTTTAAATACATGTATTTTTTATCATCATAAAGTCACCAATCTAATCAGATTTATCTTAAGGGAGGAGGCAAACTGTGGGGTGCAACACGTAAGCACTGGGAGTTAGGGGACCCGGTCCTGCCACAAACACTGCTCACTTGCTTTGTGTGCTTGGCACCCATGACATGAGGGGATTGTGTGCACTAAAGTAGAAGAGCCCATGCAGTTGTGCAATTAGTTACTCATGAGAAGAGTGAGATTTACTGAACCTAATTCCAGGAGAAAAGACTAACAAGCTCTCTAATCCCACAGAGTTGGATTTATAGTAGTCCCCCCTTACCTGTGAGGGATACGTTCCAAGATGCCAGTGGATGACTGACACTGTGGAGAGTACGAATCCCATATATACGTTGCTTTTTCTTATACATACATACCTATAATAAAGTTTAATTTACAAATTAGGCACAGTTAGAAATGAACAAACAGTAACTAATAATAAAATAGGAGAATTTTAATGATCTACTCTAATAAAAGTTATGCAAATGTGGTCTCTCAGAATATCTTACTGTACTGTCCTCACCCTTCCTCTTCTTATGATGATGTGAGAAATAAAATGTCTCCATGATGAGAGGAAGTGACGTGAACTACACAGGCACTGTGATACAGCATTAGGCTACTACTGATGTTCTGACATTATGTCAGAAAGAGGATCATCTGTTTCCAGACCTTGGTTGACTGTGGGTAACTGGAACTGTGGAAAGCAAAACCACAAATAAAGGGTAACTACAAACAATATGGTTTGAGTGCTCAGAAACACCCACTTTTTCCTTATTCTATTCTCTCCTGAGAACAGATATTGAAATATAAGAACAGAAATGATATAGCTGGGAATGTAATTATTATATCAGTAGCTAGCATGAACTGAGTACATACTCTGTTTTAAGCATTAAGCTAAGTGCTGTATATGTAGTACCTAATTTCATTCTAACATCACTATGAAAAATGGGTATTCTTCTTTAATTTTGTAAGTAAGGAATGTGACCAAGTCACTAATGTTGGCAAGTTAGTAGGAGAAGAGGGAAGGATTTGAACTTAGGCAGCCTGATTCCAGAGTGTGCATTCTATCACTAAGCAGTAGTGCTAGTGGAGAACAAAGAACAGTGTAGAAGGAGGCAGCTGAAAAGAGTGAGTAAGCTTTGTGATCTTACACATGCCTTCCAGGTGCCCATAGAAACAAAACACTACCCCTTTGGTTAACTGAGTTACCTTACATGCATCTCCAAGAAGCATGGTCTTTCCTAACTTCTATTTCATATCCGATCTGGGAATGCTCCTTTTCCCTACTGTCTTCATTTTATAACCCGGGTGTTATTAGTGTAAGCTCAGCAGGTTACTATCATATTACCCAGGAACATAGCCCACTCTTTTCCATAAGCTTCTAAAGACAGAAATCAGTTTTGGGCTTTGGAATCAAGAAATGCCCAACCCAGACACATCTGACTCTCACCCCAAATCAAATGAAGCTTCTAAGAACATTCATTTAGGTTTGCATTTTCCATTTCCATCTTCTCAGAGAACAATTTACCTCTTGTTGCAAGTGTCCCAACCCTTAGCTGGTTCATTCAGGCTGCTGGTACACATCTGCTGGTACACATCTCCACCCATTGGTACCCACACCCTGAATCTTTAGAGTGCTATACTAACAGTTCATGTCTGTCAGTGAGACAGGCATGTCCAACAGACAAGGTGCCAGGAAGGAGTAGAAAGAGCAAAAGACATAGGGAGGAAAGAAGTTCAAATTCTAACTTGTCTGCTATTGGTTGTGTGATCCTGTGGCGGTCACTTGGCCTCCTTGAATTTCACTCTACTCCTTATTAATGTTAAAAATCTCGGGAACTTAATTGTTCCAGATCTTAATGCCAGAATTTTTTTTTACTCCATATAAAAAAATTTTGAGTGAATTCATGAACCAATTGTAGATGTTCTAATGGTCAGGGAGGAATGGCTCAATTTTGGGATATAAAAAAGTTGGTCTAGAGAGAAGGAAGCCTCTAAGGCAAAGATTAAAATTTGAATGGTTTGATCAGAAGTATCTCTTTAAATCCTAGTGATTGTGCATTTAATAAGTAGCTTTAAAAGTTTCACATGTATGATAATTGCCGCATCAAATCAAAAGCAAGTCACCACTTTAGAATTAAATGACCACAGCAATGCCTATTTCTCCAGTATAGAAAATGTGGCTGAAGTTCTAGGTATTTCCTAAATTAAGACAGACATATAAACAAATAGATATCTAGATATCCCATCTTTCTCCTATAACACATGCCCCTTTCTTACATAACCCTTTAGTGCTTATTTATTTTTTAAAAAAGATTTTATTTATTTATTTGACAGAGAGAGACACAGGGAGAGAGGGAACACAAGCAGGGAGAGTGGGAGAGGGAGAAGCAGGCTTCCCGCGGAACAGGGAGCCTGATGCGGGGCTCTCCTGAGATCGTGACCTGAGCTGAAGGCAGACGTAGTGCTTATTTGATCTGTACCTACTATGTGTCAGATTCTGCCAGTACTCTCAAGATAAATAATGATGTCCAGCCATTGAGCAGTTGAGAGTGATAGTCTGGGCTATCACTTAGCACTGTGTCCCCCAGGACTGTGGAGGGAAATGATAGAGTTATGTATAAAAGTGCCTTTCACATGCCTTGGAGAAAGGAGGTAAGGGACATGCCTGGAGGAAGGGGTGGGTACTAAAAGGGCTTTACAAAGAAGGTGAACTTGCACACACATTCTCAGATGATTAACAGAGAGGGGCAAGGTCTCAAAAGCAACTCATCCAATAGTTGGACACTTAATCAATCTGAGACCCTCTCAACCTCTGCTCAATCACATTGGTACAATTTCCTTATGTTAATAGACTTAAAGTCTTATTTTCTATTGTCCAGCATCACTTGAAATAAATCCCAGGGATTCAAGTCCCCTAGTGTCTTAAGTCACTAGATGTCTTAAGGTATAAATTTCTTTTCTTGTATTAAAAAAAATCTGATGAAACTCACCAGTCTATTGTCAAAGAAGTAAAAATTGGGAAAGCACTTCACGAATTCTTAATTTCTAATTACGTGTTTTGAATTAAGAAAAAATGTACTGTGGACCCACTAGATCACGTTTAGAGTTGCTGAGTCAGAACTTCCAAGAGAAGAACCTGAGAATAAATACATTTTGGGGTGGGGTGGGGCTAATAAATACATTTAACAGGAGATCCTCATGCTGCTGACAAGCGAAACTGCAGTTGGGCGTGACATTACTTAATATCCACTCCATGATGTCTTATGGGAAAAGTTTCTTGCTGAATTTAGAGAAAAAAATTTGCCTTCCCTAAAAACTGCTTCTTCTTTTCTCATTGTAAGATTTATGTAGCATGGTTTATTCTTTTATTTTTTTTCCTGTCTATCCAGAAACTCAAAGTAAAACTGATGACTCATTTTATCCCTGAGTTTAACCTGTGTGCATCCTCCCCTCATCCTTGTCATTGATTCTTGCCATATACACCTTGCATTTTCATTTTTATTGTTGTTGCTTATTTCATCAAATATGTATTATAGTTGATTTCATCATAAATCATCTAGCATTTTAAAGTGCAAAGGCATAAAAAATGTTAGAGAAAAGATTAAAAACTCTGTATTTTTCTTAAATCTTAAACCTTCTCTAGTTGGTAATTGTTTCCCTCTATCTGGCTTGTGTTTCTAAGGACAAACCCACAAGGATCCAGAATAACCCAAGGGCAGCCAATCCTGCTTTTCCAGTTCTGCTTCATGAGTCCTCCAGAACAGAGGCCCCAAAAGCAGCTCCAAGCAAGTTCTCAGGATTCAGGACCTGGCTCAGCCAAACACAACTTATTTTGAACATCCTGACTGCATTCTTGCCTCCAGAAATCAGAATAAATGTGTCTCCTTAGGAGTCATTTATCCTAGGGAACTGAGTAGATTTTTATTGGTAGTAGTAGTAACTTTCCTGAGCATATTTAAAGTTTTTAATGATGCCAAAAAAATATAAAATATATAAAAGTTATTATTAGCCAGAAAAACCAAAGAATGGTTCAAAATAAGGAAGCTAAAGCCCAGATAAAGTAACACGTCCAAAGTCACAGAATTAGGAAATGACAGAAAGGGAATTTGAACCTGACTCCAAAGAACAAACCCTTAACCCATAAAAATGTATGAAGTTTCAGAGTTCAAAGCTTCATATGTTCTTTTTGGAAAGTCTTTCAAATACATCTGAGCCCACTCTCCTCGCTAGGTAAACTAAAAACCAACCATTTTTCAAATAAACAAGGTTATTACTTGTTCCAGAGAGTCTTCATTATTCTTACAGAATAGCAGAGTGTCGGGGTTGGGAGAGTCCTGGAAAAGTCTTATGCAGCTCTGAATTTGCTCTACCACCCATTACACAGTGGCGGGGCCTGGTAGCCATTGCTACCGTACTTGCCAACTTAGTCATAGAGGATGGAACCCCTGTATAACCTGACCCAGCTGAGCCAGAAAGATTCTCCCAGAATTATTTATGTGGCCAGTAAGACCAGACTGAAATCATGGAGCATGATGATAATTATGGCAGTGCTCTAGAATAAAGGATGTCTGTACTTCTGCTACTGGGTTCTCAATAGCTGTCCTGCGTCTGGCCTTTCCTAAGCACTCTGACTCTGAAAGAAACACCAGTGTTTCAATAAATCTTTTGTTTGTCTTGTTTCCTATTTTAGTAGCCAGAATATGTCTGCATGAGACACAAAGAACCTTTAATAATATAGATAACTAAACAAAGAGTGAACACCTACAAAATACCAAAAATACACGTGACTCTCTACA